TTTTATTGTTTTTGGTTTGTAACATTGTAGATATGAAGAGTATGGAAGAAATTATCAGAATAATCAGAAACAAAAAATTATCAAATAAACATATTAAAGCCTGAAAGACCAGCTCCCAGAACTGCACCAGGGCTGCAGAAAGAATGCCTTCTGAGTAATGGGACATAGACATATTTCATATCTATGTGAGGGAATAACTCACACATGAGCTGAGAGTCATGAGATTTATTTTTTCCAGCTCTAATTCTCTCCAGCTTCTTTTTTCACACAGCTTATAATACACATTCAACAACAAACTTTAGACAATTAAAAAGGTTACAAAAGCTGTTTCTCAGGGTCATAATGCATTCCTTGAGTAAATGATAAGGGACACGTGCAAAAATGAACTTGTCAGCTTTCTGATCAGCGGCAGCTGTAAGGGGAGTTTGACTATAACTTCATGTCTTAAGGAGATAGCTTACAGGGGGTTACAGAGGAAAGACAATGAAAAGTGTTCCAAGTCTATAAACACATTTTCTTATCCTGCATACAACCCCAGAGCACAATGAGGGAAGCTTGTAACTTCTTATTCAAGATTGTGAGGCCAGGCCATCTTCTACAGTCCTGGTCATTTGTGAAGCCTTACCCATGGTTATCTCGACAGAAAGCTGTTTATCTCCAGACTTGGTTAATTGGTTAATTGATTTTTTTCCTGTTACACACATAAATTTCAGGACTTAAACAGTTAGTTAGCTGAGCCTAAAATCATATACCATAAACTGAGTTTAGAAGTTCACGCAGAGTGTTAATTGCTTAAAGAATCTTGAGTGGGGAGTTTTGTTTGTCTGTGCTACAAGCTAGACTTGGCTAGAAACTGGCAAGTAATTTAGGTCACTTTTGTGTCTAAAAGACTTTGATTCAACAAATCAGACATTTGCAATTCTGTCCTTGTGAATTATCTGTGAAAGTTTAACTTGTGGCCTGTTCGCAGAGATAGTTTAGTTAATTACCTTGTCAACTAGCTAGTAATAGAAAACAGGCTTCTAAGTTTCTCACCTTTTGTTGAACAAAGGCTTTAATATCAAGATTTATTTTATTTACCAGAATTATACAGTATAGGAAGAAATAATCCTTCTGTCACTTCACAGGAATAACAGTGCCCAGTAAAGGAGGAACACACTGCCAAGAGTTGTGGGAAGAATCCCATGGCCATTTTAAAGGAGAATTATGATAGCACACAAGAGAATTACAGACAGAAGCAATCAGTTATTCACAGGCAATGGTCTCATAAGCCTTGCTTAATAAAATTTCTTCATCAGATGGTTGTTCATCTGGTGGGTAGACCTTATGAATATCAACTGTCATCTACTGTTCATTTTTGCAGACCTTGACAACACAGTTTTGAAAACACTAAGAAAACTACCTAGATCCAAATAGTTTCCCAATCATCCCACCAGCCTTTCTGGTTTAGTTCATGGTCCAATATGAATTGTTTTGCCATGTGTTCCGAGGGAAATACATTTCACCACATCTAATAGTGTAGCTGGTGGAAAAGAATGGAAACAATGTAATTCACCCCTATACTTTCAACTAAAACTGAATCTGCATATTGTTCCTACAGATTCCACACTAAGACAGCTACTATTGTTGGCTCCTCTGAGGGCCAAAAGATTTCTTGGAGTGGAGTAGAACTTTCCAAGCAACAGAAGGTCTTCATCTCAGCTTTATGCTCTCTGTTCGCTGTCACCTTGCATGAGAATGAACATGGGAAAAAGGACTTCTTAAGACTTCTTCTCACAGAGGATCTCCAAGGAATACCAAAGAATTTAATCCTGTTATCTATGTACTGAGAGACTTTTTATCCTTGGAAAACTGATTCTTCACCTGAAAATTCTTCCTTTGAATTTTGTAATATATATAATTTTATATGTCATATAAAAATTACATATTATATACTCTCTATATATGGCATGTATGTATATACACAATTTTATATATATATATATATAATCATATGTTTTAAATAGCACCTTTATGATATTGCAGATGTGAAAATTGATAATACCATAATCTAGTTTCTAGTTACCTTGGCTCTCTATACTTGACAAATAAAAACTGTCATCTGAAATTTTAATCCCATTCAAGATTCAGGTATTTTTGTTAACAGCTTACCAGAACATGTTAGTAAAGCTTGATATGGGATATATCTCTCTTGGTGTCAGTTGTCCTGTAGTGAGATTCATCTTCTATATCCTACTCAAAGAGACCTCACCTTATGGCAAGCCAATATGCTTCTAATCTACATGACAGACTACAGAAAACCAAAGCTATCTTTTACATAGTGTGGTAGCATGTTAAAAACCCAGAAGAATCCCTGAAAAGAGAAAGGGTCTAGCCAACACAAATATATAACTTCCCATGAATCTTCATTGGGTTATCTGAACTTGTTGCTGCTTCTCTTGATTCAATTCTAGGTAGAAATCTAAGCCAAATTTTGCATGACTGCTGTGAGCTCACAATTATATAGAATAGAACTCTGGTAGATAGAATGTGGGGCATTTCTGCAAATTTTAGGACCATAACTCATCAAGCACCATGAAAGCAAACAGAATAAATACATTGCTCATCCAGATGGATTTCTTGAGACTTCAGAGTGAAATGATTTGATGGTTAGGAGAGGTAGCTGCCCATGCAGAGAACCTAAGTTTGGCCCACAGTATCCATTTTTGGTGCCTAAGAACCAACTGTAATAATGTCAGTTCAGGGAGATCTGACACTGTTATCTTTTAAGCTCCATGCCATACATATGGAATATATGCTTACACATAAGAAATTACAAAAAAAACTTAGTAATGTAAGCTTGCTCTTCTTTTCTGGTTTGTTCATGTCATCCCAATCTGGAATAAGTGTTTCTATTGATCTACCAAGGAAAAATCCAAACACAATTGGAATAATGATTCCAAGGTAACTTTAACCCAAATTATTAGGAAAGTTCTCAAAATGGTAAATCATTGCTTCTCTATGTTGGATAGATACCACAACATGGATAATGAATGGAGCATGGAGACTTAGGCATCACTGCAAACTCTCTAATGTACTACTTTTGTCTTTTTTTTACACATATATATATTCATTGGGTGGTTATTACTTTTTAAAGGGCCACTTCACTAAGGCCTAGGAATGCAGCCATCATCAAAAATGAAGGAGTCCTTTTAAATGGAAATGTATAGAATGGACAGAAATGCAATGGATTCAGTGTGTTTATAATTAGAGGTAACTTTTAAGCTCAAGTTTGAAGGCAGATTTACAGTTATATTGTATTTTTCTTTATACTACAACCAAAAATAAATATTTATTGATAAATTAATTATTCCTTTCTGTAAGGTTTAATTTATGAACTATGGGTACTAGTGATTTGTGAAAAATACTTCTGAACCCAGGGAATTCATCTGCTTACTTTTACACACAGAGAGAAACACATATTCATATCTCTACTACAAAAAGCCTGAATTTAATTTCATATATCCAATGCCATCCCCAGACCACCTCATTTATTTAAGACTTCTCCTTTCAAATAAGCATGCCTTTTTAACAGTGAGACTCACAGCTCTTATACTTATTCATCAATTTTCTTATTTCCTCAATACCTCCATGGAAATTAAGAGTCTAGGCCGGGTGATGGTGGCACATGCCTTTAATCCCAGCACTTGGGAGGCAGAGGCATTCAGATCTTTGTGAGTTTGAGGCCAGCCTGGTCTGCAGAGTGAGATCCAGGAAAGGCGCAAAGCTACACAGAGAAACCCTGTCTCGAAAAAACAAAAAAAAAGGAAAAAAAGAAAAAAGAAAATTAAAAGCCTGTACCTCCTTCATCACATTTCCAAACGTATCCAACCATATATAACCCCATAGATACATCATCAGATATCCTTTCCAGCCACCAATGTATTTCTGCTCTTGTATAGATTTTCTTCTTTACATGCTATGTAGTAATGTAAAAGTGACCCCTTCCCAGAGAATAATCTTCTTGGCCCACCCTTCTTAATCACAAGACTCAATAAGTAATTATACTTCTATGTGAGGAAATACTCCAGACCTCATGGTTGCTTTACTTCCTTAAGGAAAGCACCCCCTTTCATGCCACTTTCTTCTCTATTCACCTGTTCAAGCCATATATCCTAATGATAGACTTGGTAATAGATTTCTCTTAGAAGAGTATGACATTCAGTACTTGCAGAGTACACAGGTTTAGGGAACAAGTGTGTACACGGGTATGAATACTCACTGTTCATTTGAAGACCTTTACCCCAAAAAGACAATGGTTTGTATTAAGAATGGATAGAGAACAGAAGCAATGGTCTGGGGTATCTAGGAAAAATTAGGACTAGACTATATAAGCAGAAATAGTACTAAGAATGGAAGAAATCCCTAATTTTGGTTGGTCAATGTGGAAGCAGTGTGACAACACATTCACAGATGGAGTAAGAATAATAGTTTAGTTGCATAAGACAAGTGACAGTGATGAATACTGTCTGTGTTTGTTAGTACTGCTTATATTTAATATCCAGCATATCAGGGATATGGATGAAGAGAATGTGAATCTGGGATCAAGAACCTTGACAGGCCCTCATGAAGGAAGCCTGGGACTTGCTTACACTCTGAGCTTGTTCCATAATGAACAGTGCCTGTTCCAGGTGGAACAGGATAAAGCAAGTATGTACTGAAGTGAAAATAAGATGCTATTTGAAGAACACAAAACAGACATTGTCACTATGGCTGTCAGACCTCAACATGTCCTTGGTAGTAAAATTTGGACATCACTCCTTTTATAGAGACACCTGCAGCCCTTGGGGCCTTGCTAAGTTACTGATGTGAATCAGCCCTGGAAATGCGCCCAACCCTGCTCAGTCCCTGGAGATTTGCATATGCCCAGAGCACAGCCCACTGCCACCACAATTTTTTTATAGGCTTCTCATACCCTATGCTAGAGTCAGCTGGAATCAGACAGGACACACATCATGGCCATGGGGGACCACACTCAGCTCTTGTGGCTGCTGCTACTCTGGATCACAAGTAAGGAAGGATGAAATTGGGGATTTACTTCAGGCACTGTGGTCAGTACTGCTGGCTCTTTGTGTGGTATTCCTGTGATATATGTGTAACATAACACATTTGCTATATGTTTCTATTCTCAGGTGTAATTTGTGACATCCAGATGACAGAATCCCCATCATTACTCTCTACGTCTCTAGGAGACCAAGTTACCATCAACTGCAGGGCCACTAAGAACATTAACAAGAATTTAGCTTGGGTTCAACAGAAACCAGGGAAATCTCCTATGATATTAATCAATTACGCATCCAATTTGCTAACTGGGGTTCCAGCAAAGTTCAGTGGGAGTGGATCTGGCACAGATTATTCCCTCACTATCAACAACCTGGAGTCTGAAGATATTGCAACATATTATTGTCTACAGTATTCTGAGCGTCCTCCCACAGTGATACAAGTCATAACAAAAACCCCCAGGGAAGCTAAAATGTGAGGTTTACATTACATCTCTAACTTCTAAGAACATTTACTGGATGTATTCATACTTCAAAGTTGTTCAAAATCAACAGCACAGATGTAATTCTGCCTCTTCTTGGATTCTTTAAATTCAGAGATGACTGCACCTTAATTGGCTGAGTTATACCAGTTGAGATTAATAGGCCAAAACAGAAGTTCCTACAGATAATAAAATCAGGGAATTATACTTTGGGAAATTAAACTACATTACAGGAATAAAAAAAAAATGGAACAAGTAGTCACAGAGGTGAATGCTATTAATAGAGAATATTCTGTTGTTTTCCTATAAGTCAGAATTTACCTGCTAATGAAAACATGAACTACCATCCTTATACATACCCCAATAGCTCAAAGTGTAGAGGCTGATGCCCCAACTGAAATACCACAGTAGTAATTTCACAGTCCCCACCCCAATCCATGCATCTGTCTGCATGAGCTGGTGAATATTATACTTTTTTCCCTTATATTTGACAAGGTGAGTAGGACTCGTTCAGTATAGTTCTAGAAATCAACCACAATATCTGTATCACAGATAAGTTGTTCAATATGCAAATTAGTGCCCTGCCTTCTAGAAAATTTTGTACAGCAATAAAAGGGCAGAGATGAATAAATATGATATAAAAAGGAAATGGAAGACTCAAAGAAATATTTGCAGGTGATGTGTTTCTATGCGTAAGAGACCCTAAAGAGTCTACCTAGAAACTCTTAAACCTAACAAAAACTCTCAACACCTTGGTAGGACACAAAGTTAACAAAATCGTAGCCTTCCTTCACACTTACAACACACAGATTTAGAGAGAAACCAAGGAAACAAATAGATCCTCAGCAGCCTCAAAACTTGCTTTCGAGTGCTGCGGAGGTGGTTCAGCATGTAAAAGCATGGGTGTGTAGCTGGAGAATTTTTCTCAGTCGGTAATTAGCTCAGTCGGAATTAGCTCAGTCGGTAGAGCATGGGACTCTTAATCCCAGTGTCGTGGGTTCGTGCCCCACGTTGGGCGCCATTTGTAGCTGGAGAATTGTTCTCCAGCTCCCACTGCCAAGTCCTGCCAGTCCCGGAGCCCACTTATAAAACAAACACACAGACTCTCACATTATTTAAACTGCTTGGCCATTAGCTCAGGCCTATTATTGTCTAGCTCTCACTCTTATATTCAGCCCATTTCTATTAATCTTTACTTTGCCACGTGGCTTGTGGCTTACTGGTACTTTACATCTTCCTTGTCTTGGCGGTAGCTCCAGCAGGTCTCCCTTTCCTTCCTCCTTCCTCAATTCTCCGCTCTCCTTGTCCCACCTATACTTCCTGCCTGGTCACTGGCCAATCAGTGCTTTATTTATATAAAGCGATATCCACAGAATGGGTGTGGTGTCTTTTGCAATAACTTGGATTCCATTCCTGGCCATGCACATACTAATTCATAACTATTTATAACTCTATTCTCATAAAACTCCACACCTAGATAAAGAGGTATGGGTAATTACTGATTGCTGAGAGACAGAAAATAAGTCTTTCCCAAAGATGAGCCCCATAATTGGTTTACCAGTACCAAGTGCTGAGCCTTAAAAATATATACATATGAGTAGCAGTAAATGGACTCAGTGGGTATATTTACATTCATACACACACACTTCTGATCTCTTTGGGCATCAGTTTCACACATGGTTTAAGTACATACATGCAGGTAAAACACTCATACACATGAAATTAAATTTTAAAATCTTAAAAAATGAAATAAAAAATAAATTTTCTTGGAATACACACAGTCAAATAGAAAAAAGTTATGTATGTTACTTTTCTATAGCTCTGTTAAATCACCATGACAACAAAAGTAATAATTTATTGGAGCTTATGGTTACAGAGGTTTAGAATCCATGATGATATATCAAAGCCATGGCGGCAGGAGCAGGAAACAGAACACAAACTCAAATAAGCCCAGCCCATGGACATACTTCCTCCAGCAAGGCCATACCTCTTAAGCTTCCCCAAACAATACTGTCTACTGAGCACCACGTACTCAAATATCTGAGCCTATGAAGCATATTTTCATTCAAACCACAATGAAACTTTATATGAAAACTTTAAGATTTGTGGGGCATTTACCCAAACACCCCCACAGTTCCCCAGAGTTTTCTTGAGTGCGAGCAGCAGGAAATATTAGATAGAAGGATTTATTGTGGAGAATATCGCGGAGATAAACAGATAGAAAATAAAGGATAGCCTCGAGAGGGCCTGGAACCTATTCCAACGGGCCCCGACTGTCTCTGCCCCAGGGTTTTTATAGAGACGCCAAAGGGTGGAGCAAAAGACCTCCTCCCCCAGCACAGCTAAGTGCAGACCATCCCAGACACCTGCACTTAGGCCCGTGGTCTAATCATCCTCTATGCGGACCTGCTGGGTAAAGCCACGAGGAACCTGAGAACGGGCTCCCACAAAGATTCTGAATTTTAGTATTTTAGAATTTAAAATACTAGAAAATAGAAATACCTCTTATATATATTGAATCCTGGAAGTGATGTTTTTGTCTGAATGAATGGAGTTTCCACTCCAATGTGGTACCCACTTGGATCCCAAACATCATTAGAACTGGAACAGGAGGGTCAGAGTTCCTGCCCATTTCATAGGAATTCTAGAAATGGCAAATTGACTTTGAACAAATATTTCCATTAAATATATAGTGTGGGGGTGGGTTCTATCTTTGAAATCATGTAGGAAAAGATAGTTAACACTGCATACCTAGAAAAATGGTATTTCATGGAGGAATAAGAAGATGCACACTTTAACAACTCTTGTTTTTTAAACTGCTAGTTGACTTCCCATCTCAGTGCTTCTGAAAAAGACAGGTACCACAGGTCTTGGCCTCTGCCTAGGTGGTACACCAGTTGTACTTTCACAGCTTCTGGATCATCTTATTGTTCTCATCTAGCATTATCACTAAGCACTTGGACTAGAACATGATCACCTCTTCTTATAAAATGTAGCCAATTCTCCACTTCCAGGATATCTCTGGAAGATTTAGGTTATGGTGCCCATAACCAATTTCCAGGAAGGCTGGTGACAAATACCCACTAGGGTGCTCTCCTCATCTTTTTTGCATCATTACATATCTAGGAATTAAGATTCTAAACAAGACAATAGTAGCCAAAATTTCATCTTTTCATTAAATTTGTATTGTGTGTAAATGTGTTTACATGACATGTGCACTTGGGAGACTGTCTTGGTCAGAAGACAACTGTGTGGCACCCATTCTTTCCCTTTACTCTTATGTGGCATCTGGACCTCAAAGTCAGATCATCAGACTTGTGCAGTAGGCAGGTTTGCCTGCTGAGCCTTCTCATAGGCTCCAGATGTCACCAAAATCATAGGGATTTACTATGAATGATCCTTTACCTCTTTACACACAGTGTGATTTTCTCTGCTTTTATTTTACTTTACATATTTTCTAGGATGTATTTCTGTGCGGCATTAGGAAGTAGAATGCTGAGATTACAGACAGTCAGGGCATGGGATTTATCATTTCTTTCTGACCAGTTATCCCAATTTCCAAGGGTTATAGTAACAAATTTCAAAAAAAGAGTATGATTTAAAATGGTATCAGTGAGTGCAAATTTTAAGAAGACTGGATGCTATAACTCTAAAACCAGTTTCCATGAACTGACACCCCACCAAAGTTTTGAGAACTCTGCCCTTTGTCTTTTCCATCTTGTCAAGACTGCAGCTTCTGGAAATAATGGGGAGAAAAGAGAGTTGGGATGCCTGTCAGCCTCCCTGACCCTTCCTACCAAAACCTTCCACTGACCTTTATGTATAAAGGTGTCAGTAATTGCAGACTCCAACAGCTCAGCCTATAGATTTTATGATTCTGCTGCACACTGTAGAATCTAGGCAGTGTATATATGTCCAAGACATCAAAATCCACACAGGCTTTTAATTCATGAAGTATATATATTGTTTTCATGGTAAACGATTGCATGCTTTATGGAATGTTCAGATAATAAAAGACCTATCAGCACATACTCTGACAGCAAGGAATTCCACATAGCTCTGCAACAAGACAAAGACTGTGAGGTGCTGTTCTTTCTGTCAGCTGCAACTATATCAAAGAACTGCATTAGATTGTTCACATTGCTCAACCCTGTATTCAGAGAAGCATACACAGATGTCTAGTACTATCAACATTACAGCAAATGACCAGCAGACAAGATAAACAGAGAATGGATTGGAGTCCTGATCTACTTTTCTGACACTGTATTTAAAAGGAAAGAGCTCAGGATCATTTACATAAGATGCAAACACGTAGAAAAACTTGTTTATGGCAGAATAACCTCACAATGAAAAATCTCTCTCTCTTAGACTATAGAAAACATTTCATGTATGTATATATTTATATATGTCTAGCACATAGAATTCTTCATACTTTGACTTGTATGTCATACACATGAAATGAGGATATTCAATAGGATATTTATTAGTAATAGATTATGGAATGAAGTTTTATATTTATACTCTTAGGGAATTTTTTCTCAAACTTTCATCTTGCTTTAGAGAAGGCCATTAAGGTTCAATTTATAAAGGACAAGGATTTATTACACTTATTTTCTTTTGTTTTGCTTATTCTTATAGAAGTTCATGTGTTTATTCTCATTCAAACTAGCCTTAAAGTCCTTGATAAGGCAAAGCCTTGAGCACTAATACTACTGGATCAGACATTAAATTCTATTCTAGAATAGTCTGGAAGAAGCCAAGCAGGTTGCCTGTTCTCCTTCCAAATGTAGACCGGAACACACACCTTCATAAACCTGGGGTCTATGGTGCTGTCTTGCAGGCCTGGGTCTTACAGATTGTATTTGTCTCCATTCACAGATCTAGCCTTTCACAATGTAGTCCATCTGCCCTCAGATATAGGTGGCACAGATTGCATCCATTTTATTACAAATATAGGAGACATTTTATGTCATTTCAGTTTTAAGAGTGGGCTTTTC